AAAAAAAAAAAAAAAATGTTATCCTGCAAAGCAGACAATGGGCCTCAGACTGCTCCAGGGTCCATGGCATAAAAAAGTTAAGAACCTTTGCTCTAAGGTACAGATCCATCGTTTGTTTATGTCACAACGGGAAGAATTAAAAGTTTGCAGCTTTTTGCTTTGCCATAAAGCAAATTATAAAACGATATACGTGACTGATAACCTTATTATTTAATTTCTAAATTAAATTTCCCATTAAGTACTATAGCAAAAATTATTTAAATACTAAGTGCAACCTCACACATAGCTTTCAATAACAAACATAACACTCACACACGAAAAACATACAGGTACTCAACGACTATACAAATGAATCAAGATTGCAAAATGTCTTACAGAGAAACTCAGTGTTCACACATCTTTTAAAAACTAATAAAAACAAGGCATTATTTACCATTTCTCTTTTGGAAAATTTTTTAAAATTTCTTTAATGATTGGCTGGTAGCAGGCATCCCTTTCTGCTTTCCCAGTTTCACTCCAGTCTCTCACAAACTGTTTCAATGTGGATTTTAACTTATCCATGTCAAATGTAGATGCTGGCATAATCTTTCCATTCCCCTGTTTAAAAAAAAGAAATCAGTTAGCTTCTCAGAAAGCAGTCTGTTTTGGCTACGGTTAAATAGACACGCTATTAAGGGGCTATATAGGTGTTTTAGTGGGTAAATCACTAGTCTCTCACCTCAACCAGGATTCAAGTACAGACTGAGATCCTAAATAGTTTTTTTTTTTTTTTGGGGGGGGGATTGTCTCACTTCTATTCCCAAAAGATTAAGGTCAATTAATCATAAAACCACCCTATAATTAAACAGTCTTCACTCAGGAGAGACCAGAACTGAGCTGCTATGAAAACCAAACATCCTCTCTCTTAAGAGAGGAAAGAAAGTCCCTCCAGGTCACTGATGGGGCAGCACAGAGAGGCTCACAGTGGAGTGGCCCAACTATATCCATCCTGTGGATACAAAAACAGTACTTCAGTTTCTATTGCTGCCAAGTCCTTTGAGTTTATAAGCGAAAATAATTTCATACAGTAAAAGATGAATATCAATAGATATACTGAAAGAAATGAGTTAAACAAGGGAAATTCATTTTATGTAGCTGTAAAGTTGTTTATAAAAATTTAAGTCACTATTCCTATGCCAAGACATTTAGAATATATGTCAAATGAACAAATCCAGTCTGGTAAGCCTACTCAAATGACTGAACATATAAGTAAACATAGTCTAAGTATAGCAGATGGCATTTGCTTGATTGTAACAATGAAATCCAGAAAGATAAAAACCTCAACTTATAGAGGTTAAACCCTAAAGTAAAAATAGAACAAACTTTCACATACATCTTGTCCATATTCTTTATTTTCAAACATATGTATGCAATCATTCACAATGGTCAGTAGTATTTCTTGATTATGATCAATGCATTTCCGAATCTTGTCCAAGTGAAGGAGAAACTGAGGAAGTAGTTTCTGTTGATTAGCTGGAAGTGATCGAAATTGTCTTTCTGTTCGGTTCACTCGTTCATGCATACTGGTGCTAAAACATAAAAGGTGTGTTTTAAATTGACAAAAGAATCTCATCAAACACCAAACTTATTTTAAGGTTGTCTTTCTGTAGGATTCCCTTATGTTGGACACTGCCCTACCATTCACAATCTCTTGGCTTTTTTAAGGATATGAACTTAGAAAGTTTTATGTTTTTACTTTATTATTACAGACACTTGTCCATGCAACCAAACTACACACAAATGGTTTCTAAATAGTAAAAGTAACCACCTGCACCAATTAGGGGAAAAGGAAATCTTAAAAGGATTAATGTACAAACTTAAAATTTTCAGCAAAAACAGCCAAATTCTTTGGCATTTTTCACTCTTTAAATGGGAAATGCTACTGTGAAATTCCTTTAGAATATACATAAAATGTGCTTGGAAGTGAACTAAAAGCCAATCAAGTTTTCAAAAATACCATAAAAAGTCTTACATGGACAGAAGTACAAATCAAATAAAAATTAAAATTTTATAGAGTTTCACATGACAGAATCCATCATTTGCATTTAATGTTTCCACACATAACTCTAAAGGTCACTTTAGGGACTACTCATTCATAAAACCAGAAAAAAAAAAAAACACTTTTAAAAACACAAAATATAAAATATACATTTGAAATGTCATTTTACATCAACCAAAGAGGCAAAATTTCAAAGCCTGCCTATATCAAATGTTGGTGAAAATGTATAGTAATAAAGACATTTACACACTGATGATAGGTGCATAAATTAGTACAACCACTTCAGAAAATAATTTAGAGCACTACCTAGTGAAACTCAATATGGTACATGTCTTATGACCTAGCAATTATACTCCTACACACATACTCAAGAAACTCTTGGAAATGGGCACCATGAAACATGAACAGTCTTCATTACAGCACTATTAGAAATAACAAACAAAACATCTAGAAACAAGCCAAAGGTACGTCATCAGTAGGCTGACCAAAGAAATTACAGTATACTTATACAATGGAATGCAGTGAGTGAATAAATCATAGCTACACGTAATATGGATAAAATATAAATATTTGTTGAAAAAGCAAATTATAGAAAAATACATAATTACAATTGCATTTTATATATAACTAAACAATACACTGCTTAAGGACTGAACATACATGGAAAAAACAAAAGGAAAGCAAGTAAATGAAAATTCAGTGATTTTTATGATGGGGGAAAGACACTGGATCGCATTTTTTTTTTATAGAACTGGGTGGTAGGTATATTGATGTTCAATGTATCATTCCTTACACTTTATATACAGAGGGTGCCAAAAAAATGTACATGTATTTTAAGCAAGGAAAAACTGTATTACATTTGTAATACTTCAGTCACAATTGAATTCTGCAATTATAAGAGAAGTTCAATGTAACCTGCTATTTTTTTGTTATCGATATATATCTTTTGTTATCGATATAGAGTGCTAGAATATATATATATAATATATATATCACATATACATATTTTTCTTATAAATGTTCTTTGATATGTACCCAACATTAAATGAAAACAATAAATACTTCTTTTGTTTGGTTGCCTAAATCTATTTATCTAAACAATTCTCTCATTTTTTTGCCTTCATATGCCAAATTACTACCTAATTCTGAACAACAATATGAAAGTTCAGAAGATCCTGACAAAACTTAACCAAAAACCTGCCTTGTTTTTAGAAACTTGTGTGCTTCAGTAGGGGGACACTTTGGGATAATATGAAGAGATCAAGTTGGCAGTGGCTGCACTGCTATCTGCTTCCCACTCTGGACAGAGTATAACAATGAACTCTGAAGTCAGATAGATCTGGGTTGAAATCTTGGTTATGCCACCTATTTGCTGTGTGACTCCAGGCAAGTTACTTTCGTCCTCTGTGCCCCAACTGTGTCATCTATAAAAGCAAAATAAAAAATAACAACAACAATGATGATGATAGGAGCTACTATTTACTGAGATTTAATAACTACCAGGCACTAAATCAAGTCACTAAAGATGGATTATTTGGAAAAATCTCCACCAAACCCCTGAGATAGGTACCTTTACATTCCCCTGGCTACCCAACAGCAGTTCATTGAAAAGAATATACTCAAAAAATAAATAAATAAATAAATAAAGACTACTCAGGGCAAGAAGGCCTAATAACTCTTCTTCTTATCTTTTAGCATATTTCGGGGGGGGGGGATTGTTTGCTTGTTTATTTTTGAGACAGAGTCTCACTTTGTCACTCTCTGTAACCTCAAATTCTTGGGCTCAAGTGATCCTCTTGCCTCAGCCTCTCCAGTAGCTGGGATTACAGGCGCCCACCACAATGCCCAGCTATTTTTAGAGATGGGGTCTCACTTTTGCTAAGCTGGTCTAGAACTCTTGAGCTCAGGCAGTCCACCTGCCTCTGCCTCCCAGAGTGCTAGGATTACAGGCCTGACCCACCACACCTGGCCCTTAGCATATTTGTTTTGCTAAGACAAACTCGTTTTGCACCTTTAAAAAAACTTAATTATAATTGTATACATTTATAAGGTTCAAAGTGATATTATATATGTATGAAAATGTGGGAAGTCCAAACGAAGATAATTAACATATCCACCCCCTCAAATACAATTTACTCCTCCTATCTAGCTGAAACATTGTACCTCCTGACCAACCTCTTCCTATTACCTCTGGTGCTGCCATTCTACTGTCTGTGAGACTGGTTGTTTAGATTCCACATATATCTGAGAACATGCAGTATGTGTCTTCCTATGCTTATTTCACATAGCATTTTTCTATACCAACGTGGTACATGGAACAGCAGATAAGCTGGAAGTGTTTAGGAATGCAGAATCTCAGGACCTACCCAAGACTTACTGAATTGGAATGTGCCTTTCAACGAGTTCTTCAAGTGATCCCTATGCACATTCTTCATCCTTATAAGAATTTTCTCAGAACAGAAAAAAGTTCTCAAATACCACATGTAACAATGACTATAATGGTTCTTCATGATCCTATCTTATGTAACCAATATTTACTTAGTTATTTTCCAAGTATAGGCATTTAGAAACTTTCACTTGTCTATACAATACATTTTTTGTGCTCAAAACCTGTCTATATTTTAGGGAAAAAATAGCAACAATATCCAAAAGGAGCATTACAGGTCAGAGGGAGTAAGTATGCTTAAAGCTCTTTTTTTTTTTTTTCTTTTAGTTTTTGCCAGGGCCAGGTTTGAACCTGCCACCTCTAGTATATGGGACCAGCACCCTACTCCTTTGAGTCACAGGCGCCGCCCTAAAGCTCTTGATATAAAATGATTTTCAGAAAGACTGTATCAATTTATACATTCCTATCAATGGAGTATGACACAAGGGAACTATATAAAGTGGCTGTAGTAAGTCAGGCAAACAGCAGAGCTGTAACCGTTATTCACTGTCAACAGCTTTAACAGTCACACAGAACTTCGTTTCTAGTATTGATTCCTGGGTACTGGATGCCCCCCAACTTCTCTCTTACTATACCTCAAAACTCACATCCCAACTGAACTTGTTTTTGCACATGCCACATGAACACTTCCACCTTCCTATTCAGCTAATATTGACAAACAGTACATCATAAATGCACCCAAGTCAGCAACCATGGAGTTGCCCTAAAATGCTTCATCTCTTAGTCCTACAAACAGTAAACTCAAAATACTTTTTCTTTTTCTTTCTTTTAGAGACAAGGTCTTGCTGTTACCCAGCCTGGAGTGCAGTGGTATTATCATAGCTCAGGCCATCCTCAAACTCCTGGGCTCAAGCAATCACCCAGTCACAGCCTACTGAGTAGCTGGGACTACAGGCACCCACCACAACGCCTGGCTATTTTGTTGTTGTTGTTGTTGCAGTTTGGCTGGGGCCAGGTTCGAACCCGCTATCCTCTGCATATGGGGCCGGTGCCCTACCCACTGAGCCACAGGCACCGTCCCCCTTTTTTTTTGGAGATAAAGTCTCACACAGTCACCCTGGATAGAATGCCATGGCATCACAGCTCACAGCAGCCTCAAACTCTCAGGCTCAAGCGATTCTCTTGCCTCAGCCTCCCAAGTACCTGGAACTACAGGTGCCCACCACAACGCCTGGCTACTTTTAGAGACAGGGTCTTGCTCTTGCTCAGGCTGGCCTGGAATTCCTGAGTTCAGACTATCCAACTGCTTCAACCTCCCAGAGTGCTAGGATTACAGGAGTGAGCTACTGTGCCCAGCCTGGATTCTTCTAAATTACAAGTCTCATCTTTGTCACTACTAAATCTCAATACATCAGCCTATGCAGAAAGCGAGTAATAAATGTTCAGTTATACTACACAAGGAAACCACACTATTGGTTCTCCATGGACTACTTATTACCATGGTTGCAGGGGTTGAGGTGAATTAGGGATTGGTCAGAAGAACTGTCAATTCCCGATAGAGAAGGGAAGTAATCAGACAGAGCAAGATGAGATGTGCAAAATTGCCTGTAACACACCCATAGTGACCCTTACACTAGGTGGGGTCTTACCAAAATGAGAACACAGTCCAACCCTAACTACACTACTATAATTGGGACTAACTTCATTATCCTGGAAATGCCTACACTATCAATATGGTTTAAGGCAAGGGTGGAAAACTGGCCCACTGGTTACTTGGTTGTTTTTGTAGACTCTTGTTAGTACAGACCCATGCCCACTGATTTACAGGTAACCAATAGTTGCTTCCACCCAAGGGCAGTGTTGAATAGTTGCAACAGAAACCACTTGGCCCTCAGTGCTTAAAATATTTACCTGCCTGGCCCTCTAAAAAAGTTTACTGAAACTACTTTAAAGGAATGTTTTACAAACTGATATCAGATTTCGCTTGATTCTGAACTAAGTATTAAAAGGCTACATCCTTCAGCAGATAAGGAGAGCAAGTATGCTCAGTAGTCATTTCTCCTCAAAGGGATCTCTACCTCTAGCTCTCTCTATAAAACTGGTTGTCAGTAGTGACTCCAAATCTGATTTAGCCACCTTTCATC